CTAGGATTTGCTCCCACTCGACCAGGGCAGTTGGTTTGACCGGGGCGGGCGTGAGCATGTGGCGAAGATTGCGCAGCGATGCGTCAGATGAGGTGCATCGCACAATGTGCACGCGCTTTTTGCACTCCTCGATGTGTTTGGGGTAGAGTGCCAGCCAGTAGCAGGCATTCTCAATTTCAGAGGGATGGCGGCTTTCGAGCATCCTCCTGGAGCGATTTGCGGTGCGGCGAAGGTCGTCTAGGTCTTTGTCGATGCAGAGCGAGCGATACATGTTGTCGGGTTTGCCACGCAGGTAGATTTCGAGTCAGAGCTGCCGCATCGTTCTTATCTGGAAAAGCTCAAGTCCCGTTCTGGCTGCGCGTTGGACCACAAGGAAACTGGCGAGGTCAATGCCGCGAGCGTCAGTGACAAAGATGATCTCAACGACAACGACGACGACGACGACGACAACAGCAGCGTCTCGAGTGACGATTGCAAATCCGCCACCGCTTTCGTGGGTGATGCACCGCGGCGACCTGGACCAATTCGTTCAAGGCTGCCAGATGACAGTTCCTTGAAAACGTTCCTTGCACTGCAAGATTGCATGTCATTTTCGCTCACCACACTTCTGTGTCCCAACATGTCCCTCGTAAAAACGTGAAAAAGCGTGAGTAGAGAGATGATTGTTCAACAGTCAAACAACATGAATGTGGAATGCTGTTGACATTGTCAAATTTGTACTGTGTGCACAAAAAGCTCAAAAATTCAACGCGAGTCACGCAAAGAATCAACCGAATCAAGCCAGCTCCACTTTAGTATTCAGAACAGCCACCATTCTCGTCAATCACGTCTTGGATGCAGCGTGGCATCGAGGAAATTGGATCAAGGCAGACCTCATTCAGGACGGTAAACCTCTCGTGCGATTGTACAGGTTGAGGACCAAGACCCACTACTGGCGGTCAAACTTTGTTAATTGAGGGAAATGACGAGCGGGACTTCGCCACTGCTGATGATTGCATCGAGTTTCAGATTGGCTCTTCGCTCCGACTGTGAAACTCATCTCCTTCCATTGGCTTTTGGACGATCTTAGCCGAAATTTCAATCATGCTTTCTTATACTGGCTTTGTTTGCTTTGAGATGTGATTGGTTGCTGGTTCGCCGGGACACAAACGCCAATACACGTCCATTTCGACTAAAGTTGCTCACCAACCATGACCATGAACGCCGAGCACGGACCTAGAACGAGCCAAAACACACCAGGATTGGGTCGCTTTGAGGTTGTTCGGCAGTCTTTGTTTTTCGCTGTTTTGATTTACCACACTTCGAATGATGCTGACGTATGCGAATATGAATGAGAGACAGCGCGAGCTGTATGACGAAGTCACGAATGAGCCCAACTATGTCGAGTACGAAGCCGAGTTTATTGGAATGAATGTGGCAGTGGGTGCACTGACGAAATGGAGGAACAGTCTGACCGACAGAGAGCTTGGCGACGCTGAAGCACTGGCGATTGCTGAGGCACTCAAAGTGAAAACGACAGTGACCGGGATCCAGTAAGTCATTTGTGTTTGTGCTTGTGATCCAGCGGAGCATTCAGAATGCTTATCTATGGATTGTACGGACAGTCTGGACACAAATCGGATTGGCGAAGTTGGAGCGCGCGCGATTGCTGAGACACTCAAAGCGAACACGCTGACTTTTCTCAAGTAAGGCATCTCAGTCGGACGGATTCACGGGAGTGTGGGACTATTCAACAAAAGGCACTAATAGTAGAGCGGATGGGCAGTCTCTGCTGGAATCACATTGGCGATGCCGGCGCTCAGGCAATTGCGGAGCTTCTCACGGCAAACACGACGGTGACTTACCTCGAGTAAGTCGCTTCCCTTTGACTGAAGCATGTGAGTGGGTGACTCAGCACAAGGCATTGTGAGTATTGACTGCTGGAGGATGGACAGTCTGAGCTCCAATCAAATTGGTGATGCCGGAGCTCAGGCGATTGCCGAGGCACTCAAAGTGAACACAACGCTGACTGAGCTCTTGTAAGACACTGCCACAAAAGCGCGCGTGGGTGACTACAGGAGAGAGACAGCAAGAGTGGCTCACTGATGGGACGGGACGGACAGTCTGTGGTACAATGAAATAAGCGATGCCGCAGTTCCATCGATTGTCGAGGTGCTCAAAGTGAACAAGACACTGAAGACGCTTGAGTAAAAATTGATTGCGTAAAATGCTCGGACGGTCACGAGACTCATGCTATGAATCATCCGACGACACAGGTTGGACAGGAACTTCTTGTCCCGAGGTGCAATCGATGCACTGAC